AAATACACACATGTAGAAAGGTCGACCACATGCACACATGTACATATGTAAAGGTAGACCACATACACACATGTAGAAAGGTACAAGTAGACCACATATACACATGTATAAAGGTAAAGGTAGACCACATACACACATGTAGAAAGGTAAAGGTAGACCACATATACACATGTAGAAAGGTAAAAGTAGACCACATATACACATGTAGAAAGATAAACATAGACCACATACACACATGTAGATATGTAAAGGACGACCACATACACACATGTAGAAAGGTAAAGGTAGACCACATACACACATGTAGACAGGTGAAGGTAGACCACATACACATATGTAGACAGGTGAAGGTAGACCACATACACACATGTAGAAAGATATAGGTAGACCACATACACACATGTAGATAGGTAAAAGTAGACCATATATACACATGTAGAAAGGTAAAGGAAGACCACATACACAAATGTAGAAAGGTAAAGGTAGACCACATATACACATGCAGAAAGGTAAAGGTAGACCACATACACACAGGTAGAAAGGTAAAGGTAGACCACATACACACATGTAGATAGGTAAAAGTAGACCATATATACACATGTAGAAAGGTAAAAGTAGACCACATACACACATGTAGAAAGGTAAAGGTAGACCACATATACACATGCAGAAAGGTAGACCACATATACATATGGAGATAAGTAAAGGTAGACCACATACACACATGTAGAAAGGTAAAGGTAGATCACATATACACATGTAGAAAGGTAAAGGTAGACCACATATACATATGGAGATAAGTAAAGGTAGACCACATACACACATGTAGAAAGGTAAAGGTAGATCACATACACACATGTAGAAAGGTAAAGGTAGACCACATACACATATGTAGACAGGTGAAGGTAGACCACATACACACATGAAGATAGGTATAAGTAGACCACATATACACATGTAGAAAGGTAAACATAGACCACATACACACATGTAGAAAGGTAAAGGTAGACCACATACACACATGTAGAAAGGTAAAGGTAGACTACATATACACATGTAGAAAGGTAAAGGTAGACCACATACACACATGTAGAAATATAAAGGTAGATCACATGCACACATGTAGAAAGATAAAGGTACATCACATATACTCATGAAGATAGGTACAAGTAGACCACATATACACATGTAGAAAGGTAAAGGTAGACCACATATACACATGAAGATAGGTACAAGTAGACCACATATACACATGTAGAAAGGTAAAGGTAGACCACATATACACATGTAGAAAGGTAAAGGTAGACCACATATACATATGTAGAAAGGTAAAGGTAGATCACATATACACATGTAGACAGGTATAGGTAGACCACATGCACACATGTAGATATGTATAGGAAGACCAGATATACACATGTTAATGTCTTAGATTGTAATTTCTAAGAGGAAATCCTCAACACACATATACGTTTTTGTTTGACCTTAAGATATTGTTCACCTATAAATTATGCAATTCAGTACTTAATTTCTTTTCCTAATGTTATTGAAGCAGTTATTTTTGAAGAATTTGAGTGTAAAAGCATAAGATATGCTCATTACTGGTTGTTTGTTGGATATAAATTATTCATTAAAACAAGTGCAAAGTTAATGTAAAAATTTAACCTAAGGGAATATATTAGCAAGTCAGCTGTAAATTGATACATCAATGGTGTCCCAGCAGAATTATTCTTTCTAAAACTATGACAATGTTCAATTCTAACATATCAATATTTTTTTGCGATTATATTATACACCAGTAATTAAATATATACATGATAAAGTTTAAGGCTGTGTAAACATATGTAATCAAACATGACCATGATACAGGTTTAAGGCTATGTATACATATGTAATCAAACATGGCCATCATACAGGTTTAAGGTTATGTATACATATGTAATCAAACATGGCCATCATACAGGTTTAAGGTTGTGTATACATATGTAATCAAATATGACCATCATACAGGTTTAAGGTTGTGAATACACGAGTAATCAAAAATGGCCATATCATACAGGTTTAAAGTTGTGTATACATATGTAATTTAACATGTCCATGATACAGGTTTAAGGTTGTGTATGCACAAGAAAACGAACATGGCCATCATACCCTTAAACATTGAAATGACAAGTTAACTATGCCGCTGGGTGAGATACATGAGTAATCGAACATGGCCATCAAACTGGTTTAAGGTTGTGTATATACGAGGAATCCTCAACATTGCCATCAAACAGGTTTAAGAATGTGTTTTTCTACATTGGCTAGAGGTATAGGGGGAGGGTTGAGATCTCAAAAAACATGTTTAACCCAGCCACATTTTTGCGCCTGTCCCAAGTCAGGAGCCTCTGGCCTTTGTTAGTCTTGTATCATTTTTTATTTTAGTTTCTTGTGTATAATTTGGAGTTTAGTATGACGTCCATTATCACTGAACTAGTATACATATTTGTTTAGGGGCCAGCTGAAGGACGCCTCCAGGTGCGGGAGTTTCTCGCTGCATTGAAGACCCATTGGTGGCCTTTGGCTGTTGTCTGCTCTATGGTCGGGTTGTTGTCTCTTTGACACATTCCCCATTTCCATTCTCAATTTTATGTCAATGATACAGGTTTAAGGTTGTGTATACAAACATAATCAAACATATCCCCAATACAGGTTTAAGATAGTGTATACACAAGTAATAAAACATATCAATGATACAGGTTTAAGGTTGTGTATACATAAGTAATCAAACATGTCAATGACACAGGTTTAAGTTGGTTTATACACTAGTAATCAAACATGTCCATGACACAGGTTTAAGGTTGTGTATACACGACTAATCAAACATGTCCACGATACAGGTTTAAGTTGGTTTATACACAAGTAATCAAACATGTCCATGATACAGGTTTAAGTTGGTTTATATACAAGTAACTAAACATGTCCATGATACAGGTTTAAGGTTGTGTATATTACACAAGTAGTCAAACATGTCAATGATACAGGTTTAAGTTGGTTTATACATGAGTAATCAAACATGTCCATGATACAGGTTTAAGGTGGTATATACACGAGTAATCAAATATGTCCATAATACAGGTTTAAGGTTGTGTATACACAAGTAGTCAAACATGTCAATGATACAGGTTTAAGTTGGTTTATACATGAGTAATCAAACATGTCCACGATACAGGTTTTAGTTGGTTTATACACTAGTAATCAAACATGTCCATGATACAGGTATAAGTTGGTTTATATACGAGTAATTAAACATGTCCAAGATAAAGATGAGATGTGGTTTATACACAAGTAATTAAACATGTCAATGAAACAGGTTTAAGGTGTATCTTTGTTTAATTTGTCAAAATTGGATAAACTCTTATTGATTTCGCTTTGTATCTGAATTAATACTAAATAAATCATTAGGTTCATTGTTGCTTAGTAGTTGAAATACATGAACTAATAAATTTTAATATCTTCACAATTTCTTAGCATTGTTAATTTGTCCTTATATAAATCACAAATATTGTAATGTATCATAGTTACATTAAAGTATAGACTACTTGTCTCATAAGATACGACAAAGAACACTATATAGGAACATAGTAACTTGTGATGTAATATACTATACAAGTGTATGCTCCTTATACTGTAAATTATAATATTTTACAAAAAAGTTAATATGCTGACTTTACTGATTGGCTGGTGCCCTTTGTTAATTACTCTCATGGTTAAAAACCTTGGCACACAGTAAGATCTTAATGACCTTGGCATACAGTAGAATAAAAGCATCTTAATTACCTTAGAATACAGTAGAATCAACGCATCTTAATGACCTTAGCATACAGTAGAATCAAAACATCTTAATGACCTTAGCATACAGTAGGATCAAAGCATCTTAATGACCTTGGCATACAGTAGAATCAAAATGTCTTGATGACCTTTGCATACAGTAGAATCAAAGCATCTTAATGACCTTAGCATACAGTAGAATCAATGCATCTCAATAACCTTGGCATACAGTAGAATCAAAGCATCTTAATGACCTCTGCATACAGTAGACAAAAAGCATCTAAATGACCTTGGCATACAGTAGAATCAAAGCATCTTAATGACCTTAGCATACAGTAGGATCAAAGCATTTTAATTACCTTAGCATATGTAGTATTAAAGCATTTTAATGACCTTGGCATACAGTAGAATCAAAGCATCTTAATTACCTTAGCATATGTAGTATTAAAGCATTTTAATGACCTTGGCATACAGTAGAGAAAAAAGCATCTTAATGACCTTTGCACACAGTGGAATCAAAAAATCTTAATGACTTTGGCATGCAGTAGAATCATAGCATCTCAATGACCTTGGCACACAGTAGGATCAAAGCATCTTTTGACATTACCTTGACTAACAGTAGAATTAAAACATCATAATTATAGCTTATATTCAGTGTTGAAAACACAAAAAGTAAGGAAACGAATTTTTTTCTGTGGATACAATATCTTTTTAACATAAAATATATGTATTACAATGGTTGAAAAAGATATAGTTCCTTGTGCTGCTTACTTAATTTCCATTAAAAAGTCCAAAATCAATGCAATAAAAAAACTAATCAAAGAATTCAAAAATGATAAATATTCAACTTATAACCAAACAACACTGATTCTTAACTCAAGCGTTATGCTAATTAGTAAATTAATGTTTTGTCCTGTCACTTTTTGAATACTTTTCTATATTTAAGCTGTTTGCTTATTTATTTTATTAATATTACTCTAAATTCTAAAGAATAGATAAATACAATTGTTGTATCTTTGTCATTAAATGCACAATATCAATTTACAACAAGTTTGTGATATAGAATATGACAATTTCAATGTTCAACATGTTCAAGGGAGATAACTTGTATACATGACAGGATCAGTCTATATTGTGTAACAGAATCTCATCCATCATCAATAATTAATAGTCTTTTAACATATTCTTACCTAAATTTTCCTCTGGACTCTCTGGCATCTTGATGCCCTTGACATCTTCCACTTCATTGTCGATGGACTTTGCTATGGAGGAAATTTTGTTGGTCTCTGAAATAAACATATTTATATGTTTAAGGGAAACACAATTAATATGTATACTCAAGGATGATATTCTATATTTGCTTTCAAGGAATAAACAATATATCTATATTCAGGGGAAATAATCTATACTATTCTTAATAAGATGAGTGGGGGTTATTCTACAAAATGATTTGGGAATTTTTTCACCAGCTTTGAAACAATAATAGGACTAAAATCAAGAATCAATGTTTATAAATTTTAATTCAATAAATAATTCTCCGCAGAGATAATTTAGTGAATAATATTCAAAGGAGATAATTTACACAAAATATTCAAGGGAGATAATTTACACAAAGTATTCAAGGGAGACAATTTAGTAAAGGTGTAAGACCACTAAATCATAAATCATCCAGTTTAATGTTAAAAAAGGGTCAAAATTAAAGAACCTTTGTGAGCGCGCTCACATACCCCACGTCCCCACATTGTCATTGGAGAAATAAAATAAGTGTAAGGAAAAAAAATTGTATCAGAAAAAAAAATTGAATCATAATTTCCTGTCAATATGCACATCTACATAGTATCTGGGATGTCCTTATAATCTACACAGTTTCATGAAATTCTGTTGTGTGGTTTGAGAGGAGTTGCGATGACAAAAGGTTGCAGTAATATATTGGGCAAATAAGTTCAAAGGGGCGTAACTCCTGGAAAAAAAATTGAATCGTAATTTCCTGTCGATATGCACATCTACGTAGTATGTCCTTATTATCTGAAAAGGTTTCATGTAGTTCTGTTGTGTGGTTTGAGAGGAGTTGGGATGACAAAAGGTTGCAGCAGTATATTGGGCAAATAAGTTCTAAGGGGTGTAACTCCTGGAAAAAAAATTGAATCGTAATTTCCTGTCGATATGCACATCTACATAGTATGTCCTTATTATCTGAAAAGGTTTCATGAAATTCTGTTGTGTGGTTTGAGAGGAGTTGCTATGACAAAAGGTTGCAGCAGTATATTGGGCAAATAAGTTCAAAGGGGCGTAACTCCTGGAAAAAAAATTGAATCATAATTTCCTGTCGATATGCACATCTAAATAGTATGTCCTTATTATCTGAAAAGGTTTCATGAAATTCTGTTGTGTGGTTTGAGAGGAGTTGCGATGACAAAAGATTGCAGTAGTATATTGGGCAAATAAGTTCAAAGGGGCGTAACTCCTGGAAAAAAATTGAATTGTAATTTCCTGTCGATATGCACATCTACGTAGTATGTCCTTATTATCTGAAAAGGTTTCATGAAATTCTGTTGTGTGGTTTGAGAGGAGTTGCGATGACAAACTGTTGCAGTAGTACATTAAAGTAAATAAGTTCAAAGGGGCGTAACTCCTAGAAAAAGAATTGATTCGTAATTTCCTGTCGATATGCACAACTACATAGTATGTCCTTATTATCTAAAAAGGTTTCGTGAAATTCTGTTGTGTGGTTTGAGAGGAGTTGCGATGACAAGAAACAGGACTGACGGACTGACGGACGGACAGACGGACAGACGGACAGACAGATGGACGGACAGACGGACGGACGGGTCAAAAGCATTATACCCTCCGCAACTCGTTGCATGGGGTATAATAAGATATTCCCATGAATTTGACAGTTGCAGGAAATTAACAATGCAATTCATTGTAGAAATTTTTTTTTGTAGTCATAAATATATATATTGCCGGGTTTCAATTCACCATCCTTTTTAATTCGGTGTTCCTATAAAATATTTTGGAAACTTGAGGTGACCTCGGGTTACTAAAGCTTGTAAACAGGAAAAAAGGGGGTAAACAGGTACAGAGTGCTATGCAGTATCATAAATTACGTCTAACATGATTCAATAATTGTTAATTAAGTCTTGAATACCCATACTTTAATTTTGTTCCTCATCATCATTTTCTGTCCGGGACATGGTCCTAATTCTAAATCTCATTCTAGCCAATAGAACCGTAGCCACACCCACATAAAAAGACAACCCTACCAGACATGGGGTCAATTACATGCCAAAGTAATTAATTACATTCCAATTACATTGATTTTTAAATGTAATTAATAACATCACAATTACATTGATTTTCAAATGTAATTAATTACATTACAATTACATTGCCAATGTAATTAATTACATTTCAATTACTTTTATCCAAAGACACGTAAGAGCTATATCATTTAGAATAAAATCATGAATATAACAACAGGCTAGAATAGAATGAACTTATATATACATATATACCGGTACGTTCACTCTTTAACAATGAAAACATTTGAACAAGATTTGTTTAGAAAAAAAGTTTTCAAATTTCTAACATCATTGTTACATAAAATCACCATTTTTATAGGAAAACAATTTATAAATATTTATATATATATATAAAGATCCAGATTAATATATTTTGTATTATTAAGAATTTTTTTCTTAAAATTTTAACTTTCCACTAAAAATGTGATTTTATATTTTAAAGGTTTTCTGATGTACCTCATGTGAAATTTTAAGTAACTTTAAAGCTTCCATTTATTACATAAGAGTAATAATGGTAGCATTTTCAAGACTTGTTTTATAACAAGTCAAGATTGTGAAGTATATTGGACTCCATTCTTGTATGTTTTGACTATTGTATTTAAAATTTTGTAGAAAGTGTTTAAATAATATCCATCTGTACAGATTTTAACGTATACATATGACGGTTTAAAAAAGCATTGCCTTTGGCATGTTAATCAAGGGACAAATTTGTAATTATAATTAATTGAGTGAAAGGAATAACCTGAGGCTAAGATCATTGTTAATTGTTAGAACAACAAATTTACAAATTGTATTGAATAAATTGGTATTGTTTTCTTAATTTTTAGATTTTTTATGTAAACATGCGAACAATAAATGAATTAAATACAAATAAAGATTAATATACATGATAAAATATCTTGAGGAATGTTACATTTTTTTTCATAATGATAAATGTTTTAAAAGTATTAAGAAAAATAAAAGTACCCAGTGCATACTAAATGAAGGAAAAAAAAGTTGCATCAGATTAGCCAAAAATGTTTAAAGTTTCCATGCAATTATTGAAATGTAATTCAAAGTAATTGAAAAGTAATTCATAATTACATGGCAAAAAGGCAATGTAATTCATTACTTTCAATTACATGTAATTGAAAATATGCTCAATTACACATTACATTGAATTACTTTCAGAATTGTAATTAATTACAGGTAATTACAATTACATTTTTAATTACCTCAGGTCTGAACCCTACAGAACCAATATTCGTTAAGTTATAATTTCAAGATGGCGTAAATATCAAGCAAAACTAATAGCTTCAAACTTGATTGGAAGCAAATATTAATTAAGCATTAATTTATCCTTGAAGACATGTTCTCCATTCTATATCTCATTCTATCCAATGAAATCTTTCCCATATCTTAAGGCAATCGATGGGAACCAATATTTGTTACTAAGCTTTGCGGATCCAGGGGGGGCCCTGGGGAGCCCGGGCCTCTGCTTTTGTGGGAAAAATTTGTTTGATTATATAGGGAATCACTGAAGCATGACTGGCATGGGCCCCTCCTTAGGTCAGTCAGCGGACCCCTCCTTATGAAAAGTTCTGGATCCGCCACTGCCAAGACAGACGTGAATATCAAATGAAACTATAATAGAAGCATAACACAAGAAAGATAATTTACAGAAGTTTTCAAAGGAGATATACAAGTGTTTGGAGGAGATGGTGTTCACTAATGTTCTAAAAGAAATAGCTTTTCACTCTCTTACAGGACTTATACAATGTGATTTTAATATACATCTTTAATTTTCACATGACTCAGAAACAAATCAGAAAAAGATTAAATTTTTTACTTGTTTTCACTATCGACATTTAATTGGTATCAGTGGCGGATCCAGAACTTTTCATAAGGGGGGGCCCGCTGACTGACCTAAGGGGGGCCCTCTCCAGTCATGCTTCAATGATTCCCTATATAATCAACCAAATTTTTCCCACAAAAGGGGGGCCCAGGCCCCCCCTCCTGGATCCGCCTATGGGTATTGTTCATGTCAAAAATAAATGTTTCATCAAAGGGAGATTACTATGTCCTTCAGTTCCTTTCAAGACAAATCAATTACTGTTATGGTTTATATTTAACTGAATATTTTCAAAAGTCAACATGATTGCTTAGTTTCTTCTGTTACCTATTTTACCATCGGACTCGAACTTTTTTTAAACTGTGAGTATTCAGCTGTGTTTGTTTATTCCACATTGGCTACAGATATAAGGGAAGGGTTGAGATCTCACAAAAAATGTTTAACCTCGCCAAATCATTACGCTGTCCCAAGTCAAGAACATCTAGCCTTTGTTAGTCTTCTGTGTTTTTTTTTTTTTTATTTTGGTTCATTTATAAGTTTGGGAATTAAGTGAGGTGTTCATTTCACTAAATTAGTATATGTTATTGTTTAAGGGCCAACTGGAGGTACATCGAGTGCTTGAATTTCTAGTTGCGTTGAAGACCCATTGGGCTGTTTTCTGCTCATTGACGTATTCCCCATTTCCATTCACTATTCTATAAGCAGTTCATGGAAAACTTCAACTAATTATTTCCCTTAATAAAGGCTGTACATAATCAGTTCATGTCATAAATAAAACATTGTCCATATCTTGTCTAGAATTTCAATATCAAACTTTAATCAACTTGAATATCTCCATATAAATTATGATCTACAGTTAAGTATCTCTATTTATATCGTGATCACAAGTTTTCTTTAGAAAATTAAAGATTAAATTTGAGATTTAAATAAATTATCCAAGATTTAATTACAGCTCTCCATTACTGAATGACTAATCATAATTAATGATAGTAAATCAATGAGGTTAAAGGTCAAGTGTCTCACCTTAAAACAGGGTTAGAGGTGAATTCTATACATTTTTAAATATGATTTTTACTAATTCTATAATGATAACAGTCACATAAATAAACAGCACACAATCATGACAATATTCTTTCGTTGATCTTTTGAACATATATACTTACAATAGAATCACAATTCTTCTCTCTCTCTATTTTACACTTTCACTACTGACATATGTCCTTCTCTATATCTTCTAAAATAAAATATTAAAAGTATTTCAATAAGTAGTTAGTTTTAATTGTTTAATAGCTTCTAACAAATCATAACACAACTTTGCCTTATAAGGATGAGGGAGACTGCGTTTGTCTCAAATCAGGGGTCAAATGATCTTTATGTACCGTTTATGACATATTTATAACTATTAGGACTGCAAAGGTTGGTAAAGTCTACAGCTCAGTACGGTTTCCAGGATACTCCGAGTTGGGGGTCAGATTAATCATTGTAATTTCTTGACCCCCCAAATCAAGGAAGTATAAGGACCCTGACCTGTAGACTAATCAAGGAAGTATAAAGACACTAACCTGTAGACTAGTCAAACTTTACAGTAAATGTTAAACAGGAAGTTAATGGGCAACACATAATATTTTCCATGTCAAAACAAAGCTTAATACCAAATTTGGGCAACAAATAATATATTCCATGCCAAAACAAAGCTTAATACCAAACTTGGGCAACACATAATATATTCCATGCCATAACAACGCTTAATACCAAATTTGGGCAACACATAACATATTTCATGTCAAAACAAAGTAATATGTGTCCATTGTGAGGACACCATGCCCCACTCATACTATCTCATTTCAATGTTCAGTAAACCATGAAATCTGGGTCAAAGACATGATTTGACGCATATTTCAAAAAGTTCACATATCATAATCAACTTGCATACTAAAATTGAAGTTCATATTTACTCAAGTTCATGGTTTAGGTGTAAATTACCTTAACCAAAAATGTATATGTATGTAGTCTCAAATGTACATGTGTATATTCAGTCTCAAATATACATGTGTATATTCAGTCTCAAATGTACATGTATATATGCAGTCTCAAATGTATATGTATGTAGTCAGTCTCAAATATACATCAGTATATAGTCAGTCGCAAATGTACATGTATGTAGTCAGTCTCAAATGTACATTTGTATATTCAGTCTCAAATGTACATGTATGTAGTCAGTCTCAAATGTACCTGTACTTAGTGTCTTTTTGTTGTTGGGATGTACAATTATCCGGCCACGTCCACTCAGTGTTTTTTTAGATATATTTCTATTTGTATCCATCTGATGAGTTAAGCCTTTTTCAACTGATTTTTATAGTGTGTTCTTATGTTGTACTGTTACACCACTATCCCACGTTAGGGGAGGGTTGGGCGCCCGCTAACATGTTTAACCCCGCCACATTCTATATGTGCCTGTCCTAAGTCAGGAGCCTGTAATGGAGTGGTTGTTGTTTGTTGATGTTGATCATATATTGTGATGTTTGTTTATTGTTTTGTACAGTTCTTGTATTGTTCTGTTGCACCACTGTCCCAGGATTAAGGGGAGGGTTCTGTATGTGCCTGTCCCAAGTCAGGAGCCTGTAATTCAGTGGTTGTCATTTGTTGCTGTGTTACATATTTATTTTTCGTTCATTATTTTGTACATAAATTAGGCCGTTAGTTTTCGGGGCCTTTTATAGCTGACTATGTGGTATGGGCTTTGCTCATTGTTGAAGGCCGTACGGTGACCTATAGTTGTTAATTTCTGTGTCATTTGGTCTCTTGTGAACAGTTGTCTCATTGGCAATCATACCACATCTTCTTTTTTATATGTATTATATTCAGTCTCAAATGTACATCAGTATATTATTAAGTCAGTCGCAAATGTACATGTATATATTCAGTCTCAAATTTACATGTATGTAGTCAGTCTCAAATGTACATGTATATATTCAGTCTCAAATGTACATGTATGTGGTCAGTCTGAAATGTACATGTTTATATTCAGTCTCAAATGTACATGCATTATATTCAGTCTCAAATGTACATGTACATGTAGTCAGTCTGAAATGTACATGTATATGTAATTCAGTTTAGTAAATGTAGTTGTATATTATATTGACCTAATCCTAACAACATCTTGTCTTAATCAACCATTCCATCTAGGTTTTATTATACAATTAGGAATGTTTATAGCAGTTTCACTCCATATAACTCACCATATTTTTGTGTGAAGTTCATACAAATACTGCAATAAAATGCACTTTAAATTCAAATGGTAATAAATGATCATGTTTTACGCACTTCAAAGCTTTTAAAGGTATAACATATAAAAATCTTACCATTCAAAATTTGAGATTTTAAGTTATTAATCACAGATACTTAAGGATTAATGTAAAATTCTAAATTACAACATTAAAACAGAATTGATCAGTTCATACTTGTCAAAGTACATCTTAAATCTGTTTCCCCAATTTTTTATTTATATTGCAGAGTGATTTTTACCGTCACAATATTGTATATGATTTCAACATGAACCAAACTGAGCATTCTTACAAAATTGTTCATATTTTAAATGTTTTAAAATCTTGAACACATTTTTGCTGATATCAAATAGAGAAGAGAGAACACAGACCTTCTACAGAAAAACTACCAATCCTTGTTCAATAACTTAAAAGTTCTAAATGGAACACACCTTGCCATGAGCAAGGTTCAATCTCGGAACCTAAGAGTTAAAAGACTAGCGATCACTGTTGTAGGTCTTCTTAGAACATTTTGCTACCAAGGCCCCTTATGACCCTAAGACATTAATGTGTCCTTCACTACCATCTTATGTGTTTCTTATATATGAAACTTTACACACAAAAAAAAATTATTATGTAGGTCAAGGTGATCTAATTTTTAGTATAAAACTGTGGTAAAGGTTTAAAAAATTGATTCACCATTAGTAATATGCAATCGATCTTAAATTCAGCAAGATACCATACAAATAAACACATAATAAATCTACAAACAGAACATTATAACTTTCTCTTAACATTTGATAGCCAACAAGATACAAATCACAAGTCTATTTTTAGGTTATAATGATCCTCCTTCAAAGTATCTAAAATACAAAAATAAATATTTCCTACTTTCAACATACAATACGATAATAACAAGCGTAAACAGAAACCTTTCAATAAAGTCATTACTCAGATCAACTTACACGCCATGGATCAACCCTCTATTCTAATCACTTTTACCCACTTTGATGTAGGAATATTACACCATGGCAGAATTCATAAATCATAAAATATTGAAAATTTAATTTTTCCTATGGTGACTTCAATAATTATGAAAGTAATATATCAATAATCCTAACTGTTACTAACTATTGTGCTTCATTACATTACATTGTCATTAATTTATGACATAAAATAAATCTCCATGGTCTATACTTTTAATATCAGAAATCTGATAATGGGTGTTTTACTGAATATGTAAAGACATGAAACCAATTGATATATCTTTCAATTTAACTGAAATTTAATTATTCACAATATTATACATGTACATTAAACAAATTAAAAGACTCACTTATCATATGTAATGTTACAAATCTGTATGCTATCTTTTTATCTTAGTCAAAACTTGTTCTTGCTACAGTTAAGTAAGTAGTGAAGGTTATTTACACCATAAAGTACTGCTAAATTGACAATACTTAAGTAAACGGCATTTTTTATTGGTCAACATGTTTCGCCGATTAGAATCAGTGTCTTCAGGACAAAGTATACAAAATGAGAGTCCCTGAAGTACAAAAAAATGGTATCGAGTAAGAGACGTCATAATTGTCTATTGTTGACGTTGCTATAGGATACTTTATGATAAATGCCTTGGTCAAAGTTGGCCAGCTTACTTTAAACCAGGTAACATTGTGATCGACACTTGTCTTGGTCAATTTAGAAGGCATTAAGTTTATTAAAATCTGGTAAATTTGTGACTGGAACTTGTCTTTAGGTCATTTCAGACCAGCTCAACTCAAATCTAGTAACATTGTGAATGATATATGCCTTGGTCAAAGTAGGCAAAGTTAACTAAAATCTGGTAAAATTGTGACTGGCACTTGTCTTGGTCAAATCAGTTCAGGTCAAATCAAATCTGGTAAATTTGTGACAGGCACCTGTCTTGGTCAAATCAGTCCAGGTTGACTAAAATCTGATAAATTTGTGACTGGCACTTGTCTTTGGGTCACATCAGGCCAGGTCAACTCAAATATTGTTATACAGTGACTGATATATGCCTTGGTCGAAGTTGCCCAGCTTACTTTAAATTTGGTAACATTGTGATCGACACTTGTCTTTGTCAAAGAAGGCATTGAGTTAACTAAAATCTGGTAAATTTACGACTGACATTCGTCTTGGTTTAATTCATGGATGTTTCCGTCATGTGATTTACAATACCAATCATTAACTAAATATTCATTTTTCCATATCATGATTAAATTTCAAAGGACTTCTACAAAGCATGGATACATTTTGTTTAAACAGTGCACTGTTCTGCAGATAACTATTGAACAATGTCCATTAAATGGTATCCACCTTCTAAATATGTTTTATCAGATCTAATTAAAACTTGTCAATTGCTTTTCAATGTTTTTAAATGCTTCTTTCCTTTTCATCACAGCCTTTTTAACTGACAATGTCAAAATCGCTCAAGGATCAGACTTCATATGTGCATATTCAATCAACACAGATCAATAACTTGGTAATATTCAATGAATAAGAACATAAAACATTAATTGTATTCTCTACATTAAATGTCTAAACATTTCTAAACGATATGATTTTTTCTTTAATTAAAGTGCAAATTTTTCTAAAGCATACAATTTATTTTAAAATATATTCATTAATAAATTTTATTTCATACATTATTCAAAGGTACATTTGTATTTGAATAGTTGTAGAATAGGGAATGGAAACAGGGAATGTGTCAAACAGACAACAACCCCATCAAAGAGCAGAAAACAGCCCAAGTACATATCATTTAATTATCAAGGATTCTTTTACTTTGAAAAAAGACAAAACAACCCCATCAAAGAGCAGAAAACAGCCCAAGTACATATCATTTAATGACCAAGACTTCTTATTACAGTGGAAAAAGAAAGGATATTGTGAATAAATACATGAAACATTAAATGGGACACCCACAATGCCCCAACTTGCATAGAACCTTATAAAAGAGACGTAATTCAAGAGTGGTAAAAGTGACGTTTAGTGTGTTTAGTGGTAATCAGCATTATAAAATTTGGTTGAGGCAAACTAAAGTTAGAGAAGGAAAATCGGACGCCCTAAAATAGGTTTCCATTCTTTAACTTTAGTTTGCTTCAACTAAATGTTATGAAAATTATACACAATACTTACTATCACAAACTACGTGATGGGTGGCGTCATTTTTACTGTTCCTGAGTTATGTCCCTTTATAAAAAAACATTATCTATGAAAGCAGGGGCATCACCAGTTATTTTTCATGAGACTAATTTTCAGATGCTAAGTCAGCTATTTTATTTGGAATTGCTTTATTCAAATATATGGTGGTCATGCAACATGTAATGATAAGAGAGTGGTCACTTCCTCTGAGGTAAGGGTCATATTGTAACAAAAAGATACACTCTGAGGTAAGGGTCATATTGTAACAAAAAGATACACTCTGAGGTAAGGGTCATATAGTAACAAAAAGATACACTCTGAGGTAAGGGTCATATAGTAACAAAAAGACACTCTGAGGTAAGGGTCTGAGGTAAGGGTCATATTGTAACAAAAAGATACACTCTGAGGTAAGAGTCATATTGTAACAAAAAGATACACTCTGAGGTAAGAGTCATATTGTAACAAAAAGATACACTCTGAGGTAAGGGTCATATTGTAACAAAAAGATACACTCTGAGGTAAGGGTCATATAGTAACAAAAAGATAAACTCTGAGGTAAGGGTCATATTGTAACAAAAAGATACACTCTGAGGTAAGGGTCATATTGTAACAAAAAGATAGGGATGGACAGATGGACTGACTGATAGACTGATGGAGGGCCAGATAGACCGATGGACAGTTGGACTCATTGACAGACAGATGGACTAATGGACTGATTGACAGACTGATAGAGGGCCAGACAGATGGCTGGACAGATGGACTGACTGACAGACTGATGGACAGATGGACTGACTGATAGACTGATGGACAGATTGACTGACTGACAGACAGATGGACTGACTGACAGACTGATGGAGGGCCATATTGACAGACGGACAGACTGATAGAGTTATGGAGGACCAGAGAGACAGATGAACAGACTGATGGAGGGCTAGACAGACGGATGAACAGATGGACTGACTGGCAGACAGATAGAGGGCCAGACAGATGGATGAACAGATTGATAGACTAATGGAAACCCAGATAGAGGGATGAACAGATTGATGTAGGGCCAGTCATACGGATGGACCAACTGACTGACATAATGATGGACAGACGGACACACTGACAGACAGACAGACAGTTGGACAAACAAGTCAAAAAACTATATTCTATCTGACTGACAGACTGATGGAGAGACAGATGGACAGACTGACAGACTAATGGAGGCCCAGACAGATGGATGGACAGAAGGATGGACAGACTGATGGAGGGCCAGATGGCCAGACCTACTGACTGACAGACAGACAGATTGACTGACAGACTACTTTGTTGTCAAGGGCATAATAACTAAATCAGAATAATCTTACAGTGTTTCATATTCTTAAATGTCTTTCTTCACACTATATCATTAAAAGGGATTGATTGATAAAATAAACATATATTGACTTTGGGATATGGTCATTTAACAGGATGAAAAAAAAGAAAATAAACATTTATTGACTTGGGGATTAGGAGTTGGAAGGATAACGAAAATAAACATAATAATCAGACCAAGTTTTGTGTAGATTGTTTATACACAGACAAATATGAAATTAATTGATAATACCTTGATAAAAAGGTGGACCAATCTATGGTTTACAACCTACAAGAACTGTCATTGTGGAAATTCCAGGAGGGGGGAGGGAGGGGGTATCTATATTTGGACCAATCTATGGTTTACAATCTAAGATGTCTTACAACAACTGTCATTGGAAGCTTCTCATTGTAGAAATTCAAGGAGGGGGGAGGGAGGGGGTATCTATATTTGGACCAATCTATGGTTTACAATCTAAGATGTCGTACAACAACTGTCATTGGAAGCTTCTCATTGTAGAAATTCCAGGAGGGGGGAGGGAGAGGGTATCTATATTTGGACCAATCTATGGTTCACAACCTACAACAACTGTCATTGGGAGCTTCTCATTGTGGAAATTCCAGGAGGGGGGAGGGAGGGGGTATCTATATTTGGACCAATCTATGGTTTACAACCTAAGATGTCTTACAACAACTGTCATTGGAAGCTTCTCATTGTGGAATTTATCTTTTTGTCTTTTTGGTGGTAATTATATAACAAGAACTGCAACACATGAGCTGTGTCTGATAGAAATCAACCTTATGTAATTGAATATCAATACATCTAACTGTTAACCTGTTTCTAGTTTAAAAATTCTCTACGGATAGTCTAAGTGTTTGAAAATTGTGTTTTTATAAGAACCTTACAAAACAGAAAAAAAAAAACATCTTATAATTCGTATTTGAATGTTCCAAAATCAATTAGTCTTATACATGTACATGTATACGTGCACTTGCACAAGGTCGATTTCTATCCGATGCAGCTCACATATTGTAGTGGTGACCCTATAAACGATAATAATACTGACTATACTACTACACATGGTATTAAAAGCATGTTAATGGGAATAGGTTTGATTTGGTTTAGGAATTGTACATACCTTTAATCTATGTATTCTCTTTGTGTATAATAATCCTGTCAAAATCCAATATTCTTTGTAATATAATCCTACACTTAAAAATCTGTTGTCACTACTCTGAAATAAGAAAAGATTAAATATAAAATCAAAATTTGTAACTTGAAAATAAAAATAAATAAGATTCATAGAAATTAAAACCACAATGAGTTAAGATTTATTGATTAATTGTTGCCTGTTAGACGTCCAACGGCAAATATTTCTAGTATCTTCAGGATTAGGAAGAGAAAATTCATGTACCAAATTAGACTTCTAGCATATTAGTCAAACGATATGTGGTAAATCCACTGCAATTACACACCATCCCAAATGACAAACCAATCCAATGACACACTAACACAATAAAATGTCAATCTTATGACACACCATCCCAATGACACATAAACCCAATGAAACATTAATCCAATTACACACAAATCAAATGACAAACCTATCAAATGACACTCAAACCCAATGAAACATCAACACAATGACACATTAACCCATTGACACAGCAACTTATTGACACACCATACCAGTGACACACCAACCCATTGACACACCAACCCAATGACACACCAATCGAATGACACCAACCAAATTACACTCAAACCAATGACACACCAACCCAATGATATAACAAACAATGACACATCAAACCATTAACATGCTAAACCAATGACAGACTCATACCCAATGACACATCAACCCAAAGAAACAAAAAGCAACATACATCTAGTAGTGAATATACATTAAATAATGGTCACTTTAAGATGCTTATAATACACAATAATACAGTTTAAAAATACAAAATTTATTGTTGATGTCTAAATTTTATATTTGAAAAACATGTTATATGAACCATTCTTCATTTTCTAGTATATTTTGGCAAAACCAATGTTCAATTCACCTTGTTTTAAAAAAAAAATTATAAAAAGTTGAACTGTGAACTTAATAACTGCTCACTTCTGATTAACCTCAAATAACTGTTCGGTAAATAGGAAGTTGATAAACGATGGATGTAGAATCTCATCATAAGTTGCATGAAGAGTGATCAAAATACATCACATAATAAAGCATGCTCACATGGAGCTTTCTACCAAATATCAGGAAGCTCTGATATGTAGTTCAGACATAATAAAGCATGCTCACATGGAGCTTTCTACCAAATATCAGGAAGCTCTGATATGTAGTTTAGACATAATAAAGCATGCTCACATGGAGCTTTCTACCAAATATCAGGAAGTTCTGATATGCAGTTCAGGCATAATAAAGCATGCTCACATGGAACTTTCTACTTAATATCAGGAAGCTCTGATATGTAGTTCAGGCATAATAAAGCATGCTCACATGGGGCTTTCTACCAAATATCAGGAAGCTCTGATATGCAATTCAGACATAATAAAGCATGCTCACATGGAGCTTTCTACCAAATATTAGGAAGTTCTAATATGTAGTTCAGACATAATAAAGCATGCTCACATGGAGCTTTCTACCAAATATCAGGAAGCTCTGGTATGTGGTTCAGACATAATAAAGCATGCTCACATGGAGCTTTCTACCAAAAAGCAGGATATGTAGTTCAGACAAAGATAAAGGGACAGAGCTGGAGGTTAACCAGTATACACTCCCTCTTCCTTTGATGCTAGAGTATAATAGAAATCTAATTCATTAATAGAAATAAATTAAATATACTTCTCTCTAAATAGCTGATGTTTTGTCTACATAAAATAAGCAATGGATAATATCATCCACCAAATTACAATGTAATATATTAGTAATCTAGTAAATCACAATGTAATCTATTTGTAATCCAGTAATTCACAATGTTGTCTATAAGTATTCCAGTAATTCACAATGTAGTATATTAGTAATTCAGTAATTCACAATGTAATATATTAGTAATCCAGTATTTCACAATGTAATATTTGAGAAAATGAGCTAGATTACAGATATGTTAACAAATCTTCCATTATTATGATACATATGTATAAATGTAAAACCCTACATAAATCTGAACTCCCACAATTCCATAAAAAGAACACTGATCTATTGCAAAATCTTTCAACCTAAACTTTAAAAACTTGTATGCTATAATTTGAAAATGTAAGAAAATAATGTAAATTTGCGTCCTAAATTCCGATGTTCACACAATGATAAATCATCGGGAGCTTTTTCAGTTCAGGAAAAGTCAAACTAAATCCAATGTTTAAACACTTACATATCTATCCAAATATCTCACAATACAGAAATATGGAAAACATATTCATGAGGATTGTTCAATTTAGAAATCTTAAATCCGACTCCTCTAATTTTAACATACAATACTGAAATATTCAGTTTTGACTCGTTCAATTGAGAAAATCTGACTCTTTGCATTCAAACAGAATACAAGTTATCATTACAATTCAATTAAGATCACCTAGACTTCTACGCTTTAAAGAGCCATTGACAATGAGATATATAATACAGATATGACGATGACAAAACTCTGTGCTAAATGTTAATACATGTTACAATACCTCCTGTTCAATAGGACATCATTTACATACATTTAACTGGACAATAGGACCCACCAATAAATATATTTAAATGGTAAACATAACTTCACCTTAGGTACAAATGATCTGAAGATGATGGGTATTTACACAGTAAACAAAACTTCACCTTAGGTAGAAACGATCAGATGATGATGAATATTTACTGATTCTTTATCAGTGTCAAGATTAACACCTTCTAACAAATCAGCCTGTATTGTATATTCAATGCAGAACTTTAAATCATAGAATGGTCAGCAGATCAAAGCTCGGAATATAATACAAAGATTTTTTAATCAACAATTGGTGGCAATATATTTTAATGGAATCTAATTTGTCTTTAAATAACCTCTGAGCAGATAATTACAAACTTTCATTATTGATGTTTTATTGGTGATTTAAATTCCTACTTTTATTATTATATCAACATGATCAAGTAACTAACAAGGATTTTGTATAACAGACTCAAAATGCTCAATTCAATTTTAAAACAAATCATGGGACAAAATATTTCATGAATAAAATAAATTACTGATTGAAGTTAAAAAATCATTTAATTCAAACAGGATTTTATTCTCTTCATAGCAAAAGATAAACTGAAACTTGTAAAGAGAAATAATTAAGACCTGTCTTTATAGCAGTGGCGTCCATCATTAATGACATTAAACTTGTGAGTCTGAGGCATCACATTCACACCATTATGTCAGAGGATGTGGCATGATACACACCATTATGTCAAAGGATGTGGCATCATTTTCACCATTATGTGAAAGGATGTGGCATGATACACAATTAAGTCAAAGGATGTGGCATCATTTTCACCATTATGTCAAAGGTCGTGGCATCATTCACACCATTATGCCAAAGGTTGTGGCATCAGTCATACCCTCGTCAAAGGAAGTGGCCTCTTTCACAGCATGTCAGACTGTGGCATCATTCACACCATTATGTCAAAGGTTGTGACAGACATCAGTCACACTTTCATGTCAAAGGAAGTGGCATCTTTCACAGCATGTGGCATCATTCACACCATTATATCTAAGGAAGTGGCATCATTTGCACCATTGTCAAAGAATGTGGCATCATTCACACCATTCTGTCAAAGACTGATGCATCATTCACACCCTAATGTCAAAGGATGTGGCATTATTCACACAATAATGTCAAAGGTTGTGGCATCATTCACACCATTATGTCAAAGGATGTGGCATCATTCACACCCTAATGTCAAAGTATGTGGCATCATTCACACCTTTATGTCAAAGGGAGTGGCATCATTATAACCATTATGTCAAAGGATTTGGCATAACCTTTATCCTAACCTTAACCCTTTCTTTCAGTTACTGTCACATGATTAATAAGATGAACTGTGAACTATTGCATACCCAGTATAAGTAATCAGAAAACTGGAAGCTGGAAGCTGATGAGCAATAGATATGTGAAAACAGTACAGCATGGTTAATACTTCCTAATACAGTACAGCCTGGTCAATACTTCCTAATACAGTACAGTATGGTCAATACTTCCTAATACAGTACAGCATGGTCAATACTTCCTAATACAGTACAGCATGGTCAATACTTCCTAATACAGTACAGCATGGTCAATACTTCCTAATACAATACAGCATGGTCAATACTTCCTAACAATAATTTGATGAAAATTTTCTGCATGGCCATTATGTTTTATTTTATATATATATTAGTTTTCATTCAACTGAAGATCATGAGTATTGAACATGAAATAGCATCCTAAAGCATGCTCACATAAAGCTTCCAATTAAATCTCAGGAAGCTCAGAGTTGTAGTTCACAAGAAAAATGTGTAGCAAATCTCAGACAGACAGTATTGGTGCAAGGAATGACCTAGTCTGTAGCCTAAGATTATTGGTGCAAGGAATGACCTAGTCTGTAGCCTAAGAGAATTGGTGCAAGGAATTACCTAGTCTGTAGCCTAAGAGCTTAAGTATTGGTGCAAGGAATGACCTAGTCTGTAGCCCAGGAGTATTGGTGCAAGGAATGACCTAGTCTGTAGCCTAGGAGTATTGGTGCAAGGAATTACCTAGTCTGTAGCCTAGAAGCTTAAGTATTGGTGCAAGGAATTTACTACGCCGTAGCCTAGGAGTATTGGTGCAAGGAATTTACTAGTCCGTAGCATATCAGTATTGGTGTAATGAATTTACTAGTCAGTAGCCTACAAGTATTGGTGCAAGAAATGACCTAGTCTGCAGCCTACGAGAATTAGTGCAAGGAATTTACTAGTCCGTGGCCTAGGAATATTGGTGCAAGGAATTTACTACTCCTTAGCCTAGGAGTATTAGTGCAAGGAATTTACTAGTCTGTAGCATATTAGTATTGGTGCAAGGAATTTACTAGTCTGTAGCCTAGGAGTATTGGTGCAAGGAATTTACTAGTCTGTAGCCTAGGAGTACTGGTGCAAGGAATTTACTACTCCGTAGTCTACGAGTATTGGTGCAAGGAATGACCTAGTCTATAGCCTAGAAGTATTGGTGCAAGGAATTTACTAGTCTGTAGCCTACAAGTAT